CCCGTCCCCATGCCAGCCCTAGCTTTTATACGCAGAAAAACAGTTGCTCTGACACACAGGTGGGCCATGGAGTTTTTATTGCACGTTGGGTGAGCCTCAGAAAGAAAAAGGTTGAGACCCCCGTGCTCTAGACTGCAGGCACAGGAATGATTTTCGTGATGTGTGTAGACAGCCTCGCACAGTGGGGCTCCGGGTAATAGAAAAACATAATGATCGTGTGTAGAACCAGTGTTGTCAGTCGACAGGATCTGACACACAGGTGGGCCATGGAGTTTTTATTGCACGTTGGGTGAGCCTCAGAAAGAAAAAGGTTGAGACCCCCGTGCTCTAGACTGCAGGCACAGGAATGATTTTCGTGATGTGTGTAGACAGCCTCGCACAGTGGGGCTCCGGGTAATAGAAAAACATAATGATCGTGTGTAGAACCAGTGTTGTCAGTCGACAGGACCTTAGTTTAAAGTTTGCTTGAAGCATATTTCAATAGTGTGTTGTTCAAGCTTCTAAAATCACATCATCAGAAATTCATCATCCCCACCCAGGCTGCCATTGGGCATGGGGGCACCAGGTTAATAGCACAGCCTAGGGCCCCATAAATCCTAAACACGCTTCTATGTCAACTAGCATCCAGTTCTGGGCCCCCCACTATAGAAAGGATGTGGACGCATTGGAGAGGGTCCAGCGGAGGGCAACCAAAATGATTAGGGGGCTGGAGCTCATGAGCTATGAGGAGAGACTGAGGGATTTGGATTTGTTTAGTCTGCAGAAGAGACGAGTGAGGGGGGATTTGAGAACAGCCTTCGACTTCCTGAAGGGGGTTTCCAAAGAGGCTGGAGAGAGGCTGTTCTCAGTAGCGAGGGATGGCAGAACGAGGAGCAATGGTCTCAAGTTACAGTGGGGGAGGTCTAGGTTGGATTTTAGGAAAAACTATTTCCCTGGGAGGGTGGTGAAGCACTGGGATGGGTTCCCTAGGGCAGGGCCGGATTAAGGGGGGGGCTAGCCGGGCAGCTGCCCGGGGTGCCAACCTATGGGGGCGTCTGATGGCAACTGTAAGGGGCGCCGCGTGCCCGATTGCAGCTGTAAGGTGCACAACGTGCCAAGGGGTGGGTCCATGCATGCACCGTGCGCCTGGGGGTGGAACCGCACATGCGTCGCGCGCCCGCTGCCCGCAGCGCAGGAATGGCTTGAGCCGGGCCTGCCCTAGGGAGGGGGTGGAATCTCCATCCCTAGAGGTTTTTAAGTCTCCTCCTGACAAAGCCCTGGCTGGGTTGATTTAGTTGGGTTGGTCCTGCTTTGGGCAGGGGGCTGGACTCGATGACCTTGCGAGGTCTCTTCCAGCCTTAGGATTCTATGAGTCTATAAAACAGGCTCCTAGCTTGGTTTGTACTATTTCACTATACAAAGTTATTAAATTGTAATAATGCAACAGCATTAGCAAATACACCCTCATTTCTGTACAATAAAACGCCCCTTGTACTTTACATAATGGAAATCTTTTTTCCCTGCAGTTATCCCTTTAAGCTTACTCGGACATATTTATGTATTTTATGCACTTAGAAGAATGCATATTTATTCTTTATTCAGTTTAATTCTTTACAAGTTACTCACCTAGACAGTTTGCTGCCTTGCACACTGATGGCCAGAAATAGTATTCATTTAGCAGGGGCGTGCACTGGCTTTCATATCTGCAGTTGTCTCAGCTGCCTGTGTTTTGAATCTATGCTTTTCAGAACTGCTTCAATATGTCACATGTGTGTCTGGGGAAAAGGTGATGCAAGGCCGTGGTCTGCTTCCAGCAATGGAAATTGTGCAAAGAGACCGAGGGAAAATTTCCAAAAGTGTCCAAGCATCATTTTCAAAAGTGACCTCCTTATTCTCCTGGAGTTTCAATAAGTGTCTGACTCCCTTTTGAAAATAGGAGCCTTTCACTCCAGATCTCATACTATGCTAACGCTAACTAGAAAATTTGGATGGAGGGCCAGAGACGGGATCCAAATTTCAGGGAGGATGTTTAGATCCATGTTTTGCTCAGCTGCAATCCACAAAATACAAGAGGCCAACCCCCACTGTGATGGACTTGTCCAGTTGAAATGGGTTAGAGAAAGTGACAAGAATCAGTAAATCTCCAGGTATTAAAAATTCATGTCTTACCTGTAGATGTCTACAGAGATCTCTGTGCCCACCACACAAACAGCGTAGCTGGGATGTTCTGTTGACACCTGGACGACTCTCTGCTCCTTCATGATTGGCCTGGGACCAGAAACGTGTGTGAAGTGAACAGCCGTGCTCCCGCCTGTTCTATTTTTTATAGGCAAACCAGCATGACTGGTTACAAAGCATGAAAATATTTGTTCCGCCCTCTTCCATTCCCTATCGGAACTGATTAGCTGGAGGTACAGTCCCCTCCCCCTCCAAGATCTCTGCTACTTCTGTTTGGGCTTTATACTAGGGGAGGAAAAATGGGCAGGAGTTGCTGACCCAAGCTCCAGCTGGAGTTTGTCACTTCCAAGCACCGGCTCTTAGGTCGTGCCAAAGGGACTGGCTCAGAGCAAACTCAGGTGTAGACAGCTTGGAGAGTCATGGGCATTTGCATGGTGTGTTGCTCCTGGGGATGATCACAAGCAACACTTCATATAGTCTAAGGGCTTTACAAGTTGCTTGATTATTAAAAAACCCCTTTGGGGAAGGCAACCGGGAGTGTTAATGAGGTGGTGATCAGCCTCAGCGTTGGGTTATGTTCTGTCCAGAGGGCTGCGTTTGGGTAGGATGAGATGGTGGCAAAATTCCAGGAGATTTCTGGCTGTATCTGAGCAGGACCAGTCTTAGGGAAAATGGTACCTTGGGGGAACTTATATTTTGGCAACCCCACCCCCCTCATTGCTTCTGACCCCAGCTTCCACTCCCTGACCCCAAGCTCCTTTCCACAGCCCCACACCCCCGCCCTGCCCCACTCCACTCCTTACCCGCGGCGAGCCCCCACCCATGCCCAGTCGCCCACGCTGCCCTCCCCAAGGCCAGCCCTGCATCTGTCGATAGCCCTTTTTGCTCAGTGTTTGTACAGCACTAGCACAAGGTCCTGCTCTGTGACTAGGGCTCTAGGCACTATTGCAATCAAATAATAAATAACAACAGGCTCCTTCTGCTGACTCCCTGGGGTGGAGTCCATCCTGTCTGATGTTGCACCAGAGGTGGGGAAAAGAGTCCTCGCGTTGCAAAATCTGGATCTCTCACCCCAGCTGAGGTGGCTCCGTTTGACCCAACGAACATACCTGCTCACTTGGACTGGGAAGAAAACGTCATTCCCACCGTCTAGAATGAATCAAAACAGGTATTGGACACCAAAGAGGAACCGACGTGCTCATAGACGTTAGCACCAAAAGGACCATCAATGTCATCTTGTGTGACCGGCACATCATGGGCCACCTGATCCGGTAATAGACCCAGAACCACTGGCTTAAATTATTGAAGTCAGATCATGGTTTAAAGGCTTCAAGTTGCAGAGAATTCACCATTTACACTAGATTAAAGGTAGAATCGTAAGACTGGCAGGGACCTAAAGAGTCTTCTAGGCCCCTGCACTCATGGCAGGATGCTGTCTCCAGGATCCCTCGAAGCGAGTAAGATTTCCCCTTGGATGCCTATTACTGATGAGTACGTAGATGAGAAATTAGGCCAATTCTGGTAAGGATCATGGGCAGTGGCTGCATGTGAGGTGTCTGTCTCCAGTGGTGCCGACACCAATTCGGGTCCGGGCAGGCTCCTTACGTCGGGCTCCCTGACCTTCTTCGTGGAGACCTCGCTTGATCTCAAAGTGCTGGGCACTGTTCTTGATGGTGGTCCTCCAGGTTACCCCACTTGCCTCTCCCAGGTGTTAGCTTCAATGCTGCACTTTACCCAGGTGTTCTTAAGGACGCCCCTTTAGTGCTTCCTCTGCCCACCATGACACCTCATCCCCCCAGTCCTCAGCTGGGCGTAGAAAATCTGTTTAGGCAAGTGTGTGTCAGGCAGGGCCGGCCCAAGCCATTCGTGTGCGTCGGGCCCCAGGAGCCCCACCCCAGGTGCCCGGCGCATGCGTAACCCCACCCCCGCCCGGTCCAGCAGCCCTGCACAGTGCCCCCTACGATGGAGCACCCCGGGTGGTAGCCCAGTCAGCCCGTAGCTTGGGCAAGCTCTGGTGTCAGGCATCCTGAATGCGTGACCAGACCATTGTAACTGCCTGGGGGTGATTATTGCCTGGATGCTGTGGGAATCCGCCTCTGCAAAGACATGAACGTTGGTCCGTCTGTCTTTCCACATGATGCCCAATATTCTCCTCAGGTCCCTTTGGTGGAATTTCTCCAGATCTTTAATATGTCGTCGATAAGGAGTCCAGGCTTCAGCTCCATAGAGCAACATTGAGACGACTACGGCATTGTAGACATCAATCTCGGTCTGCGTCTTGATGTCACGGTCATCGAAGACTTGCCTCCGTCGATGTCCATAAGCTGTGCTGGAGATTCGACAGTGGATTTCACCATCACAGCAAGACTAAGCATTATCTAAGTCAGGGGTTCCCAGACTTTTCAGCATCACGTCCCCCTTTCTGATTTTTGAAAAACCCTCA